ACAAGGAGGTAAAGAGCAGACCAGAAAATTTCAAAGGATAGCTGGGGAAGACAAAGCAAAGTATTATCATGAAATACACAAAGACCTGGAATTAGAAAAACAAAAGGAAAGAACAGGTTCAGCATTTCTGAAGATGAAAGTATTGAAGAAAAAAGTCGACATCTATATTACAAGGATCTCTGGTGGAGCAATGGGTCAGGATTTGCTACCACAGGAAAGGTCAGTGGTTCAAACTCAGCAGCTGCTCTACAAAAGAAAGATGAGGAAGTCTCCACCCATAAGTGTTTACATCCTGGGAAACCTTGTGGAACAGTTCTTCCCTGTCCTCTGGGCTTGCTGTGAGTCAGAATGAACAGGATAGCAGTGGTAGCCCTAGTGGTGCAGTGGTTAAAGCACTTGGCTGCTAAGTAAAAGATGTTGTTACTAAGTGCCATCAAGTCAGTTCTGACACATAGTGACCCTGTATAGGGCTACCGAAGATGACCAGCTGGTGGGTTTGAACTGCAGACCTCGTGGTTCAAAGTCCAATGCTTGTCCTATAGCACCACACCAGAAGTCCAACTTAAACAACAACAAAAAAAGATAGGAAGTTCAAACCTACCAGCTGCTCCACAGAAGAAAGATGTGTGTGGTCTACTTCCATAAAGATTTACAGCCTTGGAAACCCTATGGGGCAGTTCTACTTTATGTTGTATGATCACTATGGGCTGGGATTGACTCTACCAATGAGTTTTGTTTTATCCTTGTCCCAGTGGTATTTCAATTGTTTAAAAAGTAAACATTTATTGTTTGGGATGGATATTTTGGTAGTTACAAGTTTGTGGAGAGAATTTAACAGCTAAAATGGCTTTATGTTTTGCAGACCATTGTATGAAATAGTGGCATAGTCCTCCATGAGGAAGGATACAATGTCTCCTCTTTCTGTGATTTGGCAGCCATTGATGAGAAGTATTGTTTTTAAAATCAAACATTACCCGAGGGCTGCCCTAGCCAGTATGAAAGCCACTAGCTCCATGTGGCTATCTAGAAACATGGACAGTCTGAATTGAAATGTGCTACTGCTAGGGTGCTGAGGGTTAATGTACTGCACTGCAAGGTCAGTTTAAACCACAAGACTGGCGGTTCGAGCTCAGCAGATGCTCCTCAGAAACCCTACACAAGGTCGCTACGAGTCGGAACTGATTCAACAGCACTTAACAGTAACAAGAACAATACTGTAAGAAAGGGGGACCAACCATCCCTCCAATTGCACTCTCTACTAAGTTGAATGATTCGGGGCAATGGTCACACAGAACCCAGACATCACACTCACAGTTATGGGATTTATTAGGGAAATTAACAGGTTACAATTCAGGGTCAGAAATATTCAAGCTACAGTTCTTTCAGCTGGGTCAGGCTCTCCTCGGCTGTGTCCAAAGCAGCCCTCTCTCTGTCCTGGCAATAGTACAAAACGTTGAGAGCACACCACACCACCATCAGCCTGAGCATGAGGGTGCTAGGCTCTATCTCTGTGAGTCAGTAAACCCAGCTCGCAACCAAGTGCCCAGAGGCAAGTCTCCTGCCCTGTCTCTCAGCTTTGTTTGCTCTGCTGAGTTGTTCCTCTGGCATTCCTCCAGTGCCACAGCTTTCTGTCCCTGGGTTGAGGAGGTTCAAAGCTTAGAGCTCCCAGGGTCCAAAGGATGCGTTTCACTCCTGGCTCCTCTTCTTTGATGGTAGTGTGAGAGTCCCCCTTCCTGCTTCTTGGAATAACTAATGCATTTTAAACCCACATTAGAGTTCCAAGTTTTTAGTTATCATTAACAATCATTCACAACATAATCATCGTAGCAGCATCTTTTCTCACCTCAGCTTCTGCAGACCCACTTCATGGGAATTCCAAGGACTCTGGCTAGAAGAGCCATCTGAAGCAACCCACTGGACTACAGTTATAAATGTAAACATATATAAGTACTTAGTACAAAACTTAAGAATGGAAAATATTTCATTAGTAATGTATTTATATTAATTATATGTTTTAAACAGTAATTTTTTTGAATATACAGAATTAAATAAAGCATTATTTAAAAATTTTAAAGAGAACACCTCCTCAGAGAACAAAAAGAGATTTGACTAATGTACATTTAATAATAGTTAAAATAAAGGGAAACAATAATAAATGCAATTACAAGACTTCACACGCACAATATATATATAAACAACCAGAAATACTAAGAACATTAGTTTAATATATTTTCACCTGTGTTTCACATTTTCAACCATAACGGAAAATATTTCATTCAAGGAATCTCATTAAATAGTTCTAAGTGTCTGCTTCAGTTTATGACTTTCTTCAGTTAATGTTGTTGTTAAGTGCCATCGAGTCAGTTCAGACCCATAGCGACCCTGTACAGGGTTTCCGAGGGTGTAAATCTTTACAGGAGTAGAAAGCCTCATCTTTCTCCCGCGGAGCGGCTGGTAGTTTCAAACCGCTGACCTTAAGGTTCGCAGCCCGATTCGTAACCACTATGCTACCAGAGCTCTTCAGTTAATAGTTATGTAATTATACGTGTTGTTGTTGCTGTTGAGTGCCATGGAGGCGGTTCCAACCCATAGCAATACCATATAGGGTTTCTGAGGAGTAGCTGGTGAGCTTGAACTGCTGACTTTATGGTTCAAATTGGCTTTGCAGTCTCATGCATTAACCCACAGCACCACACCAGGACTCCAAATATAAGTGATATTTGTTAAACTTCACATTGTTATTAACTTTCAGAGATGTTGACATACAGAGATAAGGAAGTATGTCTAGTAAGGAAAATGTCTTGTTTGCCTAAAAAGCTGCTGGAAATAATAGATAACCATTGTTATCTATAAACAGTCATGTGGGAAAAAAGAGAACGCATGAAGAGTGCCTGAACATTTTGGTCAGGGGAGGATATTTTGCCTCATCAGCTTTGGTGGTAAATATGGATCATGTCATGCCACAAGCTGCCTTCTTTAAGAGGAGGTGGTCTCTTCAAATCAAGTCAGAAAGTTATCAAAACAGCCTGGCTTTAGTAGAATATGCTGTGTTTCTGTGGTGGTACTATTCCATCAGCCTGGGTTTCTGAGTCACATATGGTGGTGACCTTATGTGGTGGTACTTCTAGGTCTGGAGGTCCGTCCAGATATGAAGATGCATGTCAAGGAGACAATGGAGAAGTGGCAAGGCTTTGTTAGCACTCTGATGCTTCAACTCTTACTGAAATTTGAGGAAGGAGCAGATTATTTTGATCCAGTAAGATGGCATAACAAATATAAAATATTTAAATACTATCATTTAACCTGCATAACCTGCATATAAATGTCAAATGAAAATATTTCACAAAAAGTGCTGACATTTGTACAAAGATCGTTGAGGTAGAACTTCATTAAATTATACATTCAGATGCTCCTCTCAAAGTTGTAGATAGAGTTTACAGAGATAAAAGTTCTAGAACCATCCTTGATGACTCCAGCTGCTGGAGATAATTTACAGGCAAAGTGAACTTTCCTGTGACTGAGATATAGCAAAAAAGGTCACAAGGTCTGTTAGTACACAGAATGAGACTGGCCTGTAGACAAAAGTTGTGTTACATGTGTAGTGATTCCATTCAGACCTAAAACTCAGCTTAGATAGCAGAGTACACTCCCGGTAATTGTTTTTTCAATGCGGCTTATTTGCATATTTAACATGCCAGTGCATTTACTCATGATTATGCCGTATTATAAGGAGCTCTGGTAGCGTAGTGGTTATGAATCGGGCTGTGAACCTCAAGGTCAGCAGTTTGAAACTACTGAGGAAGAAAGATGAGGCTTTCTGCTCACGTAAAGATTTATAGCCTCAGAAACCCTGTACAGGGTCACTATGAGTCGGAACCAAATCCACAGCACATCACCACCATCACCACCACCATGCCCTATTAATAGGAGGGACCAGTCTCTCAAGGAAAACATTATGTTTAGTAAAGTAGAGGGTCAGCAAAAAAGAGGAAGACCCTCAACGAGATAGAGTGGCACAGTGGCAGCATCAATGGGCCCAAGTGTAACAACAATTGTGAGGATGGGGCAGGATTATCTTCTTGCATAGTGGGTTTTTTTTCTGTTGTTTGTAGGGTTGCTTTGTGTGGGAACCCACCCGATGGCACCTAACAACAGCAAGACTGTAAGACTGTAAGAATACCTGAAGGCAGAATCATGAGAACCTGTAAACATTCTAACTTTATAAATCTAATAAGTGGAAATATTAGCTATTATGAACTTATCCTAACAAATTTTCCCTTTATTTTGATTGTACACACTCAGAACTAAAACAAGCTATTTCTTATTTTTCAGTCTAGACCAAACTTTGCATTTCTTTTTCTTTTGCATTTCTGATGCTTGCATTCTCATTATTACTAATACTGTCCTTCTCAACTATCTCCTGAATTTTTTCTGCAAGAGCACACAGATGGGCTTTTTTTAAGCCTTTCATCAAAGTGCTGAAAGCACCTTTCTTCCCATGCAACTGATACCAAGCACGGAGCAGCTGGACTTTTTGTTCAGCTGTATCTTGGGGATGGTTATTTTTGATCTCATCAATTCTGGCTTCATGGATACCATTCTTTCGAACAAATTCTTTCACTTGATTTATTGTCATTTGATCAGCAATATGACTGATATATTTACTCAAGTCAACATCTGTAAAATAGAAAACAGTCTCAGAAAGTTTGTTTATTTAAAAGTAGTGCCTATTACCACAAACCATATTTATTTCCCCCTTATTGTACTTCATTGTTGTTGTTAAGTGCCATCGAGTCAGTTCTGGCTCATAGCTGGTGAGTTTGAACCATCGACCTTATTATTGTTCAAACCGACCTTCCAATCCAGTACTTTATTCCACAGTGCTTCATCAGGACTCGTGGGTGGAATGCAACAAAAAACAAGAACAACCCTAAATTCTCATCCCAACTTCTGCTAGGTCTCCAGTCATTTGATATATGACCTGGAAATGATACAAATCATTTTTATCTTCTTTTCTCATCTGCCAAATAATAGAGTAAGAAAAGTTCGTTCCTAAGATTCTTTATGAAGCTGATGATCGATGACTCCCATACCCAAAAGTATAAACCAAGGGTTTATGATCTTCTCTATGAGTCACAAGTCAAAGAACAGAGCCAGATATGAGTATGTATGTTGTATAATTTGGCCACAACAATAATAATTAACTCTACAATTCAGATTAATCTCTAAGTCAGTTTAGTCAGGAGTTCTATAATGTACCTAAATGATTGTAAAGAAAAATTATCTCTGGCCTTAGAATACAGTGTTCCATTATTACCTGATTTGTTTTAAGTGATATTTTGTAGAGTTTGGGGTGTGTGTTAACATAGAAAACTAGGTTCCCATTTGACAATTTCTGCACACATTTTTCAGTGTCATTAGTTGCATTTATCACAAAGCATCAATATTCTTATTAATTGCATTCTGGTCGTTCTGTTTCCAGTACTCTAGACTCCCTGCCCCTGGTTTTCGTATCTTTGCTTTATAATAATTAGAAACCTTTGGTCTCATATGGTTTTTTAATGGAGTTCCTTACTCACTGGCAAAATCCTGATTTTGTGTGCCAGTCTGTTATTTCACTAATGGGTGACCTCAGGTGACAGTTTCAGTTCAAGGTTTAAAGGGCAATAGCCTCAGGGAGTCCTCCAGTCTAACTGGTCTACTAAGTCTGGATGATTTAAGAATTGGTGCTCTGTCCACATTCTTCTCTCGCTCTATGTGGGTCCATCTATTGTGGCCCTAAGCAGAATGGTGTGTAGTGTGAGCAAGAACCATTTAGTTCTTCTGGTCTCAGGGTATATGGCTAGTTTCTTCTTTGAAACTTCAGCATTCTTCATTCTCTTCTGCTCCTAGTGAGTAGAGACCAATGGTTGTATCCTAGATGGCCACTCACAGCTTTAAAGACTCTACATGCTACTCAACTGACTAGGATACAGAACATTAACTTTGTGGTGCCAATTGACAGAGGTGTTCCAGGAGACTAAGGATCTAAGTATTTAAACACAGAAATACCATTCAGACAAGCTGTTTAGTTATGTCTGAGAAGTACGTCTGTGTCCTCTATGAATATGGGTACACACATATCTGTATGTATAAGCACTTCTATCTGTGTACACATATGTACTCTCCTACAAAGTCCTGGTATGACACTGTGGGTTAATGTGCTAGACTGCAAAGTCAAGCTGAACTGCAAGGTTGGTGGTTCAAGCTCACCAGCTGCTCCTTGGAAACCCAATACAGGATCATTAACGGTTGGAACATATTTGACGGCACTTAACAACAACCTACCTGTACAGAGTCCTGATGCGGCACTGCCGGTTAATGCGCTGGACCACAAGTTAATGCAATGTTGGTGGTTCACACTCACCAGCCACTCCTCAGAAACTCTATACAGGGTCACTATGAGTTGTAACTGACTTGACGGCACTTAACAACAACGACAACCTACCTGTACCCATATACAGGCAGACTCATTTTATTGGACAAGCCTATCAGTGCCACATTTTCAACCGCTTGTACTCATGTTGTGTCTGTGTCACATTTTGATCATGCTCATAAAACTTCAAACTTTTTCAGTGTTGTTGCACACTTAATAGACTATGTTGTTGTTGCTGTCAAGTGGGTTCCAACCCATAACGACCCTGTCTAGGGTTTCCGAGGAGCAGCTGGTGAGCTTGAACTGTCAATCTTGTAGTTCAAACCAACTTTGCAGCCCAGAGCATTAACACACAGCATCATACCCAGACAGTATAGTATAAACATCACTTTTATATGTACCAGGAAACCAAAACATTTGTGGAATTTGCTTTATTGCAGTATTCACCTTATTACAGTGTTCAGGAACTACACCTATACTATCTCCTAGGGATGCCAGCATGCCTACACAACTACATCTGTGTTCATATACTCATGTTACATTACTGTTGCCAAATTATCTATGTCATATGCAATTACTAGCATCCTTTTATCCTGTGTACTTCTTTGTGGCATTTTACTTTGGTCAAACTGTGTTCACGATACACACATTTTGTGCTACCTTTCCCATCTCAAAAAATAACAAGTATCTACAATCTAGAGAGTGACTAACTGATTCATTTTTAACTATGCAAAAAGGAATGGTGGCTCCATACGATAAGCACTGGACTGAGAACAACAAGGTCCACATTTCGAGCCCACCAGCTGCTCTGTGGGAGAAAAGATGAGGCTTTCAGTGCCTGCAAAGATTTTTAAAGCCTCAAAAATCCTGTACAGGGGCACTGTAAGTCAGAACCGACGCGAAGGCATTTAGTAACAACAATAGTTATAAATTTAAAGAAATTCTCTGATTAACCCTTGATGGTGAACAGGAAAAAACCATAAGCTCAAGAAAGAGCAAGACCCCGCAATATGTCACTAGAATGAATAACATTTTACTGTAAAACTGCCCTCTTACTCCTAAGGAAGCCATCTCTCTGAAAATAAAATATTAAAAGCCTTACCCATGAGCCCTGTGTTGTCTTCCTAGGGAGAAACAATAAAAGTGGTAAGAGAGATGAGAAAAAATATATTGAGAACAGTCTAAAGATAATCTTCTAATTCTTCCTTATTTCACAAGAAGTATAGCTAGTCCCTTGGTATATAAAATTAGAGAATTAGGCTAAGTAATTAAGAGGAAGTCTTTTACCCCACAAATTCTGATTCTGAAAGGCCCAGCCTTGCCACATTGGCTTACATTTTACAAAGGAAAGGAATACAAGAGATTCTTAAGAATAATTCTCAAGATTATTTTTCACATAAATGTATTACAATAAGCATAATAAACATACTCATTCTAAAACGAATCTTGTTGACATTTTCATACCGCATTGATTTGAAGAAACTTAACTCCCACTAAGTTGGTCCCCTTAGTGGGAGTTAAGGTTCCACTGAATCAAAACCCATTATTTGGTTCAGTGGAACTTAATTTCCAGTGTATCTTTTTTGCTTTTTAAAATGCCCTGATCTCACATTGGGAAAAGTTGTGGCAAGACATGGGGTCAGCAGGTGGAGAGAGAAAGTTGAGCTGTGTTTTGATAATGAGGTTTAAGAACTGTGTTGGAGTGGATCTGGACTCCTAAGGCTGCCTAGGCCCTGGAAAAGGCCTTGTACCAACATGAAACAAGGACATTGGCCATGGCCTTTTCAAATTCATACTGAACACATTTTCACTTATGTTGATTCTTAGGCTATTCATGAAAAAACTTATCTACAAATTTGGCACCACATCCTAATTCATTTTGATGCCTTTCAAACTCTTACACACAAACAGGTAAATGATAATGTTTGCTTTAAAAAACAATAGATAAAGAGGAACAACTGTTCTCTTTTTGTCTTTAAGAAAGCAGATACATGCTTACAGTAGGTGGACGCATATCACAAGATGTGTTGCTGTGCCGTTTATATTTTTTCCACCCTGAAAGATCAAAGAAATTTCTGTCTGACTCAGGTATTAGCCTGATAGGAAGCATGGGAGAACACTATCACACTAAGAGAATTGGGAAAAGGAAACTCAGAGTGGTCAACCTCCATAGAAGGCAGCATTCTCCTGATATGGGGATTCCCATCCCAAAGATTTTAGCTAGAAATCCCAAGATTTCTAGCTAAAAATAAACAAACAAAAAATTTGCCATAAAGTAGATTCCAACCCATGATGACCCCACATGTGGCAAGATAGAATTGTCCTCTGTAGGGTTTCATGGTCTGATTCTGAGGTGTGTCTTGGTAGATTTGAACCTCCTACCTTTTGGTTAGCAGTCAAGTAGGTTGACCATTTGCACACCCCCATACACACTCAATGTGTGTATGCCTTGATATCAGTGCAAGACAGACATGAACCTGTAAATCCCAAGTACAGTTAGAGTTTAAACAGAATGGAGTCATACTGTACTGCTCTAAGAAAGTCACTGGACTATTCATTATAAGGTCGGCAGTTCAAATCCACCAGCTGCTTCTCAGAAACCCTATACAGGCTCTCTTTGAGTCTGAACCAACTTGATGACACTCAACAACAACAACAACAATAGATTTTTAGCTAAACAACCTTTAAATGTAAGTCAACATCTTTATCTTCAGCTAATTTGAAGAATCAGGAATTTATTCTAACAGAGAAGGAAACCTGGCTTCTTCAGCATGATGAAGAGTTGGACCTACCCTTTGCTTTATTTTTGTTGTTGTTGTTGTTAAGGGCCATCGAGTCTGTCTTGACTTAGAGAGACCCTCTATAGCATTTCTGAGGAGCAACAGTGAATGTGAACCGCCCACCTTGCGGTGCAGCACATGATCCAGCAGCACCGCACCAGCACTCCCTTTTTGCTTTATTGGTGATTTAAAAGGCGTTCTCTCGAGTTATGATTATACCCAATTTTGGTTTACCCACTGACTTTATTGCTATGTCAGAATCAACACAGTGACAATGGGTTTGAGTGATTTTACTAAGTAAAGGAGTCTTGGTTGTACAGTGGAATAAGTATTGGGCTGATAACTGTAAGGTCAGAAGTTCAAATCTACCAGCTGCTCCAAGGGGCAAAATCAAGCTATCTGTTTTAATGAAGATTTACCATCTTAGCAACCCATGAAACAGGTCTAGAGGGTCCCCATGAGTTGGGATCAACTCAATAGCAGTGACTTTGGTTTGGTTATTAAGTAACCGTTACATATAATGTTGGAGTCCCCTGCAACCTCGGAGGCCCTCACAGGAGCGCTATGTCAGAACCAACTCCACAGCACATAACAACAACAACATCTAATGTATTCCCACAGTGTTTTAAGATAAAGAGGATTAAGTATCAAACAGCACTGAACTTGGTCAAGTAAAAGGAGGCAGAGAGAAGAATGTTGCAAGTGTCCCTTGCAATGCCTCTCCCTGGGATGTTCCTTGCTTCTTATGTTCTTCTCTTGCATGGGGCAATCAATGGTTCTCAGCCAACTCTGCAGCCAATCACAGCCCCCAAACAGTTGCTCAGAAAGAATAGCTTTTTCTTTCTTATCAATTATCAGGGGTAAGCTGAGTGGCAGAATGTAACAGTACAACAGAGCTATCTGCCTGGTAAACCAATCAGTTGTCATTAGGTTGATTTTGAGTCATGGCAACCCCATGTATGTCAAAGTAGAACTGTGCGCAATAGGGTTTGTTTTTTTTTTTTTCCATCTACTTTTAAAAAAATAGTAATTTCTACAAGTACAAGTATAATTCTGTGACAATTATTACATTCCTCATGTCCTACAACCATGCCCACTGTCTTTTTCTAAATTCTTCCACCACTCATTATCATAAACGCAATACCCCCTAAGCAAAAACTCCCTCTCAAACAGTAACAATCTTTGGTTTCTCTGTTGTTGTTGTTAAGTGCTATCCAGTGGGTTCTATAAATTTGCTTATTTCATGTAAGGGAGATCATTCAGTGCTAAGTCTTTTTGTGGCCAACTCATTTTCTACAGGGTTTTCAACGGTTACTGTTTTGAAAGTAAACCAACAGGATTGTCTTCCAAGGTATGTTCGGGTGGATTCCAACTTTCAGTCTCTTAGTGAGCAATCAAGTGCATTTGTACCACACAGGGACACCGTACCTTCCTAGTAGGAGCTTTCTTATGAATAGGAGACAAAGAGATACCCTTTTGAACAACTACCTCCCATATTATTTCAATCTACAATTTAAAAAAAGTAAAAACTTACCCCAAATTATTGCAGGTATAATTAACACGAGCAGGGAACATAACCACAATGCCTCAGGTTTAGATCCTATGGATTAGAACACATGAACATTCCATATGAAAATGAGCAATCTTTTACATTATGCAAAATACTCTCAGAAATAGAACCAAAAGAGATCAGTGTTTTGTTTTGTTTTGTTGTAATTTACCATGGTGCATGGGTAAAAGGAAAATAAAACTATAGACAGAAATACCTTTTTCTTTGCATTTAGCATTTCTGGTCGGTGTGCATTTCTCAATGACTCCATGTTCACACCTAGAAAAAAAAATACAGAGGAGATGCTAGAAGCCTTGGTGGGTTGGCTGATTCCTTAATCATTTTAATAACACAATGTAAATCTGAGGTCCTTTTAGTCATCTTTGCATCTCTGTCAAACCTATTCCCTCAAATATCCCTTGATTAGCATCTAACTCCAGTACAAATTAATAATATAATTTGGATGTGTGAGTGAAAAATGTCTTTAGGAGTCATAAAACACCTAAAGCAATTTCCAAAAAGGTAGCATAAAAAACAATAAAATGAACAGACAATAGACACTGCCCAGGATGCTGCGTAGGGAGACTGCCCCGCTGGCCTTTCAATGTTGCCAATTTTAGCATCAATTAGATACTAAGATGTTAACTCAAGTGGCTCGTGTGGCTTTGCCCTTTACCTAACTATCTGACATTGGGCAAGTCACTTAACCTCTGTGAGTATGCTTGTTCATAAATAAGAAGGTAATGATATAAGTCACTTAATCGAAACTAAAAAGTATTTAGAATTACTACTATTGTTAGTATTTTACTAAGTTATCTCCCCCATCTGCACCCACTCCAATCCATACCTATACTTCTACCATAAGGCTCTCTCATATACTCGGGACTGGAAGGAAGAGGCTAGAGGAACTGCATACAATTGACATGCTTCTAAAAGAAGAGTCATAAACTCTAATATCCCTAGTCTTGCAACCAACTAGATAAACTCTTAAAAGTTTATAAAAATGAATTTCAAGTTTTAAGAGAAGCAAATGAATAGTAATCCCAAACCTTTGCATTCATACAAGAGATCTTACAAAGCAAAATCACTTTCACAGCACATATCCAATCTGATCTTCACAGAAATATGATAGATGGGATGAGTCATATTATTTGCATGTGATAAGTGAGTCAATAACATTCAGAGAGGTTAAATAATCTATCCAAACCCACCCAGTAATCATCAGGAAAGTGAGCTTCCTCTATCTCTGTGCAGTTGCTGTTCCCCTGTGTACATTTAGTAGTTATCTCTTTTGTTTATTTTTTCAGAATTCAAACCAAGTGCCGTAGCTTCACCACCCCCGTCCTCAGGCAGAATTGAAAGGTTTCCCTTTATCACTCATAACGCTTTGGCACAAGTCTTCTGTTGCTTGCCACACAGTGCTGATAGACGACAATAACCATTGCTTTTCTTGACTCTCTTTACCTGTAGACTAAGACTCTTGGTGCTACAAATGTGCTAATAAACAAAGTTAGTTAAACTGATATTTGAATGAACCATTGGTCATCTAGCTGTTTGAACGCAAAACAAGAATGCGATCTGAATTCCTGTCTTCCAATCAGTGTTTCCCCTCCCTAGGAAGACATTCTCTCTGAGGGTCTCGCTAATGTTTTAATCAGAGAAAGACTAAAACTTACACGTTGCAAGGGTAACAGTGCTCACATGAATTATCATCACAGAAAAAGTTTGCTTTACATCTGCACTTGGTATTCTGGATTTTGGTACAGTTTTGTTCCACTTCTAAACCTAGAAAATCAATTTGCAAACTGTTAATTACTGTAGTGAGTTCTAAGTGGGCTATGAAATAATAGGCAGAGCTGAATGGATTTTGAATATCAACAGTCACACCCATCACACTTTTAGTAACACAACTAGTGTTTAAATGCAATATATTACTGTTGTTGTTGTTAAGTGCTGTCGAGTCAGTTCTGACTCATAGCGACCTTGAACAGGGTTTCCGAAGCTGTAAATCTTTACGGGAGCAGAAAGCCTCATCTTTCTCCCGTGGAGCAGCTGGTAGTTTCGAACTGCTGACCTTGCGGTTCGTAGCCCGATTCGTAACCACTACGCTACCAGAGCTCCTTAATTGTTGTTAGGTGTTGTCAAATTGATTTTGACTCATAGGAACCCTGTATAGAGTTTCTGAGGAGAGGATGGTGAGCTTGAATTCTTGACCCTGTGAATCAAACCAACCTTGCAGTCCAGCTCATTAATCTGTAGTGCCAAGACTCCCCCAAATTGAAATGTCCTGCAAACACTTGGCAGAATTTTAAGAGGACAGACAATCCAGCAACCAAGTCATCCCACTGTTGTCTAGATGGCACCCTTGTACCTCTAGTCTACAGATTAGCTATTCAAAGTGTGGTCCATGAACCAGCAATATCAGCATCACCTGGGAGCTTGTTAGAACTGTAAAACAACAGCTTCTGCCCTAGGCCTACTGAATTAGACCAATACCAAAGCCCTCACTTAGAAATTCTGATTTGTTTACAGTCAGGGTTGAAAAACATCGATTTGGATTTGATTAGGGATAAGAGAAACCTTTTTCCCAGAGACTTCTGCAATGTTGTTATATCATCAGGCTTCTGGGACCTTTCTGGTTAAGAACAAGAATCGTCATACTAGCATCAGTTGAGGTAAAATTTAAAAAAAAAAAAATGGCTTCTGCTGTTTGGGGCCTGATGAACCCTATTTACAGAGTCCATCTTCAAATACTCTACCGCTGGGGAAATTGTTCAGATTTGACCCATAAAAGTAGTTCTACATGGAGTATCCTAATTGGTCTCTTTCCATTGCTTTTTTTGATTTCTAAATGTTATTTATTTTGTTCTTTTTGAGCATTTTACTAGTGTTATTTATTTTGTTGAGGGTATACACAGCATACACCAATTGAACAGTTCTACACACAATATTCAGTGACATTGATCACATCCTTTTAGTTGTGTGAACCATTCTCATTCTACCTCATTAGCATAACTCACTGAACCCCCCTCCCCCCACCCCCCAAGGATTCCATCTGTTCTTTGGAGTTGCTGTTGTCAATTTGACCCCACATAGAGAATTCTTGGAATCCTGGTGTGGCGCTATGGGTTAATGCGCTGGACTGCAAAGTCGGTTCGAATGGCAAGGGCAGTGCAAACTCATCAGCTGCTCCTTGGAAACCCTGTACAGGGTCGCTATGGGTTGGAACCAACTCGAAACTCTGCTTTTTAATCAATAAGATATTTTTTACATCACCATTAACCCCTCTTCTCCCCCTCCTTCCTGTCCCTGGTAACCACTAATAAACTTTGTAGTTGTTGTGAAATGCCATCGAGTTGATTCCAGCCCATAGCAACCCTGTATAGGGTTTCCAAGGGCCGCTGGTGAGCTTGCACCACCAACCTTGCAGCTCAAATGACTTTGCAGTCTGATGCATTAGCTCAGTGCCACATTTTAATCTCTATGAATTTGCCTTTCCTTTTCTTTTTAAATAAGTGAGTTTAGACAATAATTGTCCTTTTGAGATTGGTTTATCTTGCTCAGCATCATGTCTTCAGGCTCCACCCATACTGTAGCATGTACTTTGCTTTTTAAAACACTTACCGTGTTCTTTATCACAAATGCCACATTTCCTGCATTTCTCTAAAAAATTAGCCTCTTCTGTGTACTCTTCCCCTTCTTGACAAAAACTACAATTTGGTAGTTTTCCATTGACACTGCAGTCATTAGTTTTCTTTTTGCCTGTCCAAGAAAAAAATGGGCAATTGTTTAAACAGGAGGTGCTCATGCAAGAGCATAGGAGTATGCAGAGATGACCACACACTGTGCAAATAGGCAGCAACACTGTCATTGTGGGGTGCCTTGGGGAAGGTGCCCTGGTGGCGTGGTGTCAAAAGTACTCAGCTGCAAACTGAAACCTCAACAGTTTGAACCCAGCAGCTGCCCATAGGAGAAAGATGTGACAGTTTCCAAACAAATTCCAGTTGGGGAGTAGTCCTACTCTGTTCTTTAGGGTCGAGAGAAATCAGGATTGACTCCAAAGCAGTGGTTTCGGTTGTTGTTTTTAATCTTAAAGCAGCAGGTTGCCAAGCCTTTGGCAGAGAATGAAAAAGAAGATGAAAAAAATAAAGCAATAAGGGAAATCGAAGAGAAAAGCAGTAGAAGTGATTCTAATTATTGGTGACATCACTAATTAAAAACAAAACAAAAACAGACTAAGTCTAATCTGTTCCACTCCCACCTAGGTGGGTTCAAACCACCGCCAACCTTTTAGTTGGTAATAGGACTCCTGGTGTGGTGCTGTGGAGTAATGCACTGGACCGCATGGTCGGTGGTTCAAACTCACCAGCTGCTCGTCGGAAACCCTATACAGGATGGTTATGTGTCGGAACCAACACAAAGACACTTAACAACAAGAGCGTAAGCATGTGCGCCACCAGGAGCCTTTGTTAGCAATGCCATTGTTTGTTGTTCTAGAGTCAAATCCAACTCCTGGCAACCCTGTGACACAATAGAACTGCCCCATAGGACTTCCCATAGGAATCTCTATGGAAGCAGATGTCTAGTCTTTCTCCCATAGAATTGCTGGGTGCGTCTGAACTATTAGCTTTTTGATTAAAAGCCTAATTAACTTTGAGCTACCAGAATTAACAACAGGAACATATTTTAAAAGGAAGGTTAGAATAACCAAGTACCCAGGAAGCAGGATTGGAGGAAGACTCATTAACAACCTGTGATATGCAGATGATACAACCTTGCTTGCTGAAAGTGAAGAGGACTTGAAACATTTACTGATGAAGATCAAAGACCACAGCCTTCAGTATGGATTGCATCTCAATCTCAAGAAAACAAAAATCCTCACCACTGGACCAATAAACAACATTCTTATCAATGGAGAAAAGATTGAAGTTGTCAAGGACTTCATTCTTCTTGGATCAACTATCAACATTTGTGGAAGCAGCAGTCAAGAGATCAGACGATGTATTGCATTAGGCAAATCTGCTGCACAGGAACTTTTTAAAGTGTTGAAGAGCAGAGATGTCAGCTTGAGGACTAAGGTGTGCCTGACCCAAGCCATGGTATTTTCAATAACCTCCTATGGATGCAAAAGCTGGACAGTGAATAAGGAAGATCGTAGAAGAATTGATGCCTCTGAATTGTGGTGTTGGAGGAGAATACTAGAAGTGCCACAGACTGCCAAAAGAACCAATAGATCTGTTTTGGAAGAAGTGCAGCCAGAGTGCTCCTTGGAGGCCAGGATGGCTAAGCTTTGTCTCTCATACTTTGGACATATTGTCAGGAGGGAACAGTCACTGGAGAAGGATGTCATGCTGGGTAAGATAGAGGGTTAGAGAAAAAGAGGAAGACCCCCAACGAGATGGATCGGCCAGGTGGCATCATTGATGGTGTCAAGTGTGGCAGAGGTAGTGAGGTTGGCCCAGGATTGGACATTGTTTCGTTCTGCTGTGCATGGGGTCGCTATGAGTCGGTTCCAACTCGATGGCACCTGACAACAACAACAACAACAACAGGAAGCAATGCTTTGACTAAAAAAGTTTTTTTTTGGTAGGGTGAGTGTTGGAGCGTGGTGTTCATTAGGGACATACTCATGGTAGAGATGGCTGCCGCTGACCACTGAGATGACCTAACTAATTCTCTGTGTTTTGACTTCTCATTTTACTTTCTGGGTAAATGAGTACTTGATAAGAGGTCATGTACTGAGAGGTCAAGAACAATGTGGAGTTCCAACGACCTTGGACAGTTCCTCAGTAGCTTCAGGATCAGTAACAAAGTGTTTAGCCTCTGTATGTCTAACTTTCTTCCTGCACCTGGTGGTGATAACAGGCTTCTCTGACATCACCGTCAGGACTGAGCAGGGCCCGCACCTAGTGTGCACCAACAATTCCCTTCCCTTTCCCCTTGCCATCAAGAAACAGCACAGAGGCAGACATGGGGGAAGATGGCATATGAAGACAGGTGCAGGAGCCCATGGTAGCTGGTAGCTACTAGAAGCTAAAATAGACAAAGAAGGACCTTTCCTGGAACCATACCCTAAATTCTTATTTCTAGCTTCTGGAACTGAGAGAAGATCAATGTCAGAACACCCACTTATAGTATTTTTCATCCTTGTTGCAGCTTCCGAAGATAACTATACAGTGTTCAGCAATTCTGTTAAATACAATAGTTGTTAGAATTGCAAATTCTTTTTCCTTTAAGCCATACCCATAATACATCACCTATAACTTTCATTTATCTTCCTTCCTTCATTAGTTGCTTTATTTTGGGCAAAGGGGCGAATTAAAGACATGGATAATTTGTATGCAAGTTTTTCTAGATTAAAAAAATATCCTTAGTATTTTACAGTTATTTGCCCTCACCTAATTACTTTATCAACAATAAATTAGCAACTCACCTTTACTGAAATTCTCCAAAGCATTCCGCCTAACTTTCAAAATCGCAAAATCTCTTTCTTTCTGCACTTGTATATCACATATTAATATATGATTTAATATTATATAAATCAAACAGTTAAATTATATACTAATATAAAAAAGGCAGTAAGCACAGACAGATCTGGATGAAATTTAAAATACTGATAAGCTTAAAACTCAACAAGATAAAGCAGAAGTAAGAGTAGTGTTCACCATGTCATCAACAGTGCTCAAGATCATTCAGAGTGAACGCAGTGAGTCCTGTCAACTGAATGGAGACGACCACTTTGGTGGTGGTAGTGGTGTGCCGTGGAGTCAGTTCTGAATCATAGTTACCCTGTGTGGTGGTGGTGGTTATGTGCCGTGGAGTCGGTTCTGACTCATAGCGACCCTGTGTGGTGGTGGTTGTTATGTGCCGTGGAATCGGTTCTGACTCATAGAGACCCTGTACAGGATTTCCGAGGCTACAAATCTTTACAGGAGCAGAAAGCCTCATCTTTCTCCCATGGAACAGCTAGTAGTTTCAAACTGCTGACCTTAAGGTTAGCAGCCCGATTCATAACTACTACACTACCACAGCCGCTGGAGACCACTGTAGGGGGGTTATATACAATGGGAACTGTATCAGAAATATATCACAAAACATGGCTTTGATGCATAATATTCAAGTCTCTGGCTATTTACTTAACCAATCCTACATTGTTGGGTACCACAATGAAATGCTATGTGTACAACATTGTACTATATATATATATTTTTTTTTTTTTCCTTAAAAAATTTCTTAAAAAAGTAAGTGGGTTACTGTGTTCGAGTATATGAACATTTTCAAAATTTTAATACATATGTCCAAGTTTCTTATTTTAATTGTAACAATTTATCAAAGAAGATTTGATGTAAACGGGCTTAAGTATAAATGAGTCATCTTGAAACAGAGACTTTCCAAACAAGTTATTAAAACACACACAGAAGAGCAAATGTCCTTTTATAAACAGGGCTCACGTGAGTTTGCAATCCAAGTGCTCAGAACCTGGAAGGTCAACCAAAAGATCTTCCACAGATGTGTCCAGTTCTACCAATTTACAGCATCAATCCAAGTAGTGTCCTCTTTTCTCTTCCTGTCTTTCTTGACCATGCTGTTAAGGGAGATCCTATGAAATAGTAGCCAACTCTACTCCAAGTTGAGTAAACGTTTGTACCATTGGGTTTTGTTTAGTTTCTACTTTGCTAGCATTTGAAAGGTTTCTGGTATGAAATTGGTTTTATCTTTCAAAATACTGATTTTTTTGTTTTTTTTTTTAATTTTGGCTTTTGCTTTTCTAATTCATTAGCTACTCAAATGAACCAACTCGACGGCACTTAACAACAACAACAACAACTCAAATGAAAAATTCAAATGTATTTTATAGGCTTCAATGCCAGGACGACAGCATTCTTAGGGACCTTCTGATAGAAGGGAAGTGCTGAGACAAGTCTCTAAAGCGTGGAGATCCCTTGCTTTCAGAGTACCACAATAATTGTGATATATCCTTATCAGTTCTTTTGTGAAAAACTCAATACTCACAATGAGCCTTCCTTTATTCCTAAAAAATGGAACTAAATAGACATATCCTCTCATTTCCAAGGTAATCTGCCATTTGTGGAGTCCTGGTGTGGCTCCTCAGAAACCCTCTACAGGGTCGCTGTGAGGCAGAACTGGCTTGATGACACTAAACAGTAACAACATGTCATTTAAAAATTTTATGTATTCATACCAGTCAATCAAGTGTGATAAAGAAGAATTAAATTGGTCTTGGGAAAATAATCGTGTAGCTTCCCACCCCATCTCCAATCCCTGCTTGTATGTTATAGTGAAGAGGAACAAAAGTTATGGAAATAATCTATTTTTCTTGCTATAGATTCTATTCCTTACTCTGATTTTCATTCTAAACTTTGGACATTTTGAAGGACATACCAGGAGGGCATAATTGACAACACAGGTTACTGCTGGCTACATGATACTGTCCTTTCTCACAGATGTGGTCACGTTTAGTGATATTCTTCCTCAATATCAACCCCTCAAGGCTGATAGCGGTCACAGCAGTCATGGTAAGTATCTGTAAAAGACAAGTATAAAGGACATTTTATTGACTTCTGAACAAAGCAGCTTGGTAGACAGAGGCAACATATCCAGAATGGCTGCAACAGCCACAGCACAGCCAAAGTCAATGCGGACTCTGTCCTTTTTCTGACTTACATCTAAGAAAGGCACAGATCAACTAGATGGCAGTTCTCCATCTAACTGATCTCTAATTACACTAGAAAGAGCATGGTGGATTACAGGAGCCAGGAATCTGACCTCAAAAGCAAACCCTGGCTCCTACTTACCAACCCTGGTACTGGAGTAAAGTCACAAAAATTCTCCAAGGCTAGTTCCTTATCTAGGAAATGAAACCTCTTAAGTTTGTTGTGAGAATTTAACAGGATAATGTATTTAATGTTCTCAGCTCAGTATCTGATTAAGGGTAAATGCCTAATAAATGACAGTCATTATCATTATTAAAGAGCATAGTGGCTCCATATGATAAGCACTGGACTACAAACCATAAGGTCTGTGGTTCAAGTCCACTACCCACTCTATGGGAGGAAAGATGAGGCTTTCTGCTTCCATGAAGATTTAAAGCCTAGGAAACCCTAGACAGGGTTGCTATGAGTCGGAACTGACTTGACAGCACTTAACAACAACAATCATCATTAACTTCCAGTGAGAGAGAGACAGCAGGATGAAGCAGGCAAAAATATGATATTTAGGGATGACTGAAGTTTGACACCTTGAGGGAATGAGTTGCTGGGCCTCGGGGCTCAGGACCATAGTCTTAGGGGACACCATGGTCAGCTGGCATAACATAATCCACAAAGGCAGTGCTTTACACCCTAATTTTGGGATTTTAAAAGCTTGTGAGTGGCTATCTAAGGTGCAACTATTGGTCTCTCCCTGCATAGATCAGGTAATCTATACCGAGTGATGCACAACTGAATTGATAACTCTAGGAAATCACTACGGGATTGAAAGCATCAGTCACTTATACATTATACAGCAAATAATAATAATGGGATTATTAACACTAAACATTTGAAACTTTATTTGTTTATTCAAATGAAAATTGTTAAAGTTTTAGGACTCCTTCCAAAAGATCAAAAGGTTGATTTGAACCACAAACCGCTCCTTAAAAACCCCATGAAACAGTTCCACATGGATCACCATGTGTTGGAGTCAACTTGCCAGCAACTAGCAATAACAATTCCAGAACAATCTCATTGTTCTCGTGTTGTTGTTGTTGTGTACGATCGAGTATTCCGACTCATAGTGACCCCGTATTAGAGGTTTTACAAGTAGTGGCTGGTGGGTTTGAACCCATTGACCTTGCGATTAGCATTCCAGTACTTATTCTACAGAGCCACGGCAGGGCCATCGTTTTCATGGTGGTGGTGGTGATGGTTGTGTGCCACTGGTCAGTTCGGACTCATAGCAACCCTGTACAACGTTTCGGAGACTGTAAGTCTTTGTTATTGTTGTTGTCAAGTGCTATTGAGTCAGTTCCAACTCATAGCGACCATTATAGGGTTTCCAAGGAACGGTTTGTGGTTCAAACCAACCTTGTGGTCCAGGCTTTTATCCTACAGTGACACAAGCCTCATCTTTCTCCAGGGGAGTGACTGGTAAATTTGAACTACTGACCTTGCAGTTAGCAGCCCAACTTGTAATCAACTACATTACCAGGGCTCCTTCATAGTTCTCATATTGTTGTTGTAAAGTTCATCAAGTTGGTTCCAACTCATGGTAACCCTGTATTTTCTGAAGAGCAGTTGGTGGGTTTGAACCATCAACCTTGTGGTTAGCATTGCCAATGCATGAAAATTCTCAAACCACTATGAAAATTCCTTTAGAGTTATAAGAAATCAGTTTAAGTCTTGTCTGCAACAAATAACTGAATGGAATTGAAATAATCGAACTGAGTAGGAATAATTCCTGTCTTTTGACAGCCACCTTAGTAGTTGTGAAAAGTAGAGTTAATGAAGCCATATGATTTGTTTTCTTTCTTTTTCAATTCTGATTTCTCACCAGAAACTAAAAGAAAACAAACAACAGCAACAAGAAAACCAAACAGATTAAATTCAAGAGGATTAAAAGGATTGGTGGTGGTGGTGTGCCGTAGATTTGGTTCTGACTCATTGCAACCCTGTATAGGGTTTCCGAGGCTGTACATTTTTACAGAAGCAGAAAGTCTCATCTTTCTCCCATGGAGATTTGAACTACTGACCAGGTGGTTAGTGGCCCAGGTCACAATCCACTATGCTGCCAATCCTTAGTGGGATTGGATCCGTCAAACCTATATGCCACAGGCACTTAACTTTGATGTGTGTGTGTGTGTGTGTGTGTGTGTGTGTGTGTGTGTGTGTAGGACCTATTCTCCTCCACATGCTAGTTTCACTCAACATCTGTGTAACAGTGTTATGGATAGGTCCACAGTCCTGATTTAAATGGTCACGTGTTCAGGGGGAAGCATATACCGTCTTTATGGATAGTTACTATTAGTGTGTGGCACTGTGGGTTAATGCACTGGACTGCAAGGTCGGTTTGAACCACAAGGTCAGTGGCTCAAGTTTACCACCTGCTCCTTGGAAACCTTCTGCAGGGTCACTGTGAGTCAGAACCAACTCCACGGCACTTAACAACAACAACAACAATATATTCTATTTGGAGACCTGGTGAGGCACTGCACGATAATGCACCACACCAAGAGATAGATTTGAATCACAAGGTTGTCAGTGGTTTGAACTCACCAGCCGCACCTCAGAAACCCTGTACAGGGTTGTTATGAGTTGGAACTGACTCGACAGCACATAACAGCAATATATTCAACTTATTGGAGCTGCCTAAAAGAACTATATTTCCTAATTCGTTTGTTTTCATTTTGGCTTTTATGCTTACAAATACATTCAGAATTAGAGAAACCTGGAGTCAAGCAGTGAAGACACCATGAAATATTGTTGACCATAAAATATAGACATTAGCCCCAACACCATCACTTATTTAATCACGTCTGCTTTGCAGAGCTGAATTACAGGAACACTTTGCTACTCAGTTAACATCAAAGAATTAAGATCTGTGCAAAATAAGAAGGTGGGCCTGAAGAGTATGGTGTGACTGTTTCATGATGTGATATAAGAACCTCTAAATACAGCTTGCTACAATTTGTATTTTTTCAAAGTTTTGCATAAACTCAGATTTGCAGTATGCAAAAATTTAACTCAAACTTTCCAGGCAGAAATTGCGGCATTTTGACAGTAATATGGCAGGAAACCCACAAAGAATTAAGTGTTCTAAAAGTTCAAAAAAAAAAAGTTTTTTTTGAGAGCAGAGAAGCTGTATAGGCCTGAAAAATGGGTTAAATCAAAGATCTGAAATGTCAATAAATTAAGGCAAATGATAAAGGGGGAAAAATGAACAATAAAAAGCATTTCGAAGTCTATCAGAATAAAAACTAAAAAAATAAAATAAAATAAATCAGAGACCCCTCAGTGTGTATTCTGGTGCCTATCAGGTTAAGGAAGGTCTTCCTAGGCAGTTCACACTCAGAGGAGCATCTGTGTAAAACAGCACCTATTGCAACTCCAGTGCAAATACCTGACATCCACTGGAGAAAGATGAGACTTTCTGCTTCTGTTAAGATTTACAGCCTCACAAACCCTCACAAGGTCATTATGAGTTGGAACTGACTTGACAACACAGCTCAAAAATACAAGTCAAACATCTTTCACTTAACACATTACAGCACTACATGAAAATTACAACTGCACCTCATTTGCTTTCACAGATGAAAATTGGCCTAAGATGTACTCTAAGTCATCTTTTTTTTTTTTTCCTTCCTCCTGGTTCTTCTCTTTCTACACTCAGCAGAGCAAGGTGATCACACAGTCTACCTAAGGCTCATTAAGGCTCTCAAAATTGAAAGTATTTATCTTTTTTTTTTTAAATAGGGGTGCTTAGAGGAATCGGTGTGCAGATGCTGGGCTAGATAGTCAGCCAGCAGGGAGCTGGTTTAGGAATGCTTGGACCTACAACAAGCCTGCCCCCAGAGGAGCATGCAATGGTCTGGAAGTGGGAGATGGCTGGAGGGGTACCCCTGGAAATCAGGCTTACAGCCCACCCCCACCTCCCCACAGCATCCAGCTTCTGGGCCTGTGGCTGTCCTCCCCATTGCTGGTGGTCGGGCTTGGGGTAGGGTGGGGAGACCACTTGGCGTGGTGGTGTGACGTGAATTCAGAGGGCAGAGAGTGGTGTCTGTCAGCAGTGGACAGGTTGGTCCCTGTCCAGTTATTTGTGGGGGCTCAAGGAATCCTGGTGGTGCTGTGGGTTAATGTGCCAGACTGCAAAGCCGTTTGAACTGCAAGGTTGGCGGTTCAAGCTCACCAGCTGCTCCTTGGAAATCCTATACAGGGCCGCTATGGGTCAAAATCGACTTGATGACACTTAATAACAATAACAAAGGTCTTCTGGGGCCAGGCGTGCACAGTCCTTGTGAGCCAAGTCATTGGGTGGGCCATGCCAGCTTTTGGGACCTGGGCAAAGGGGCGCCTCCCTGTTGGTGTGGCAGCCTTGCCACCTGGCCAGCCTGTTTTGCTTTTTCAGTGCTCCTCATTCAGTCAACCCCACTGGCCCCTTGGCCTAGGAGCCCAGGGGTGGAGCTGGGGTCTCCCTGCTGGCCCTGCCCCTTTCCGTGCAAACACCCCTCCCAGGCCAGCAGGCCTCTTAGGGACCAGAAACGCTGACTGTACTGTCTACAGCCATACCACTGTGAATGCGCCAGATTCCGAAAAAATTCATCTTAAAGTTTTAACCCTTTCATGACACGTGATATACATAATGTTCCTTTACATTTACTACGGAGTCCTGGTGTGGCACTGTAGGGTAAGTACTGAACGGCTAACTGCAAGGTTAATGATTCAAATCCAGCAGCTGCCCCTCAGAAACCCTGTGCAGGGTCACTATGAGTTGGAACCAACCTGATGGCACTTAACAACAACAAAATAAGATGACAATCTACTCAGTGGCCGTGGGTTTGTGAGGAAGGTATGCCAATTTAAAGTATCGATGTGACTATATTACATCCCAGAGCTATTTTTAAAAATAAAAAATAATAAGAACTATTATTATAGTTCAAGGATCTCTGGTTGCATAGTGGTTAGGAATCGGGCTGCTAACCTCAAGGTCAGCAGTTCGAAACTACCTGCTGTTCCACGGGAGAAAGATGAGGCATTCTGCTCCCATAAAGATTTACAGCCTCAGAAATCCTGTACAGGGTCATTATGAGTTGGAATTGACTCCATGGCATATAATCACCAGCTGGTGTGGCTCTGTAGAATAATTAGACTGCAA